AAACTGTGGCATCGTATACAGCTTCAAACTTGACAGTCAAGTAATATTACACTGATTAAGCCAGGGCAATATATTTTTTTATTAACCAGGCAATAACAAAAGAAATAGATTTTCATGAGGATTGATTGATAGTAGTATAGGAAGTTTATTGGTTTCTGAGAATCCGGGTCCCATTTTCCAAATCGGATCCGAGTAAGAACCGGGACCAGAAGTAGAAATAATCATAATCACAATCATAATCATAATCATAATCATAATCATAATCATATTCTTTATTAATTCATAAGATAAAAACTACATATCTTGTGTGACAAAACTTCCAATTTTGATTGACTAATAACATACATAATGTAGGAATAATCTGATCGATCCGTGTTTAATTTCGGCCGGTGACTAGATGTATTCTCTGACCTTCAGCGTAGGGGGTGTTTACAAGAGAAAACTCGCACCGGTGCGAGTTTCATACTGGGATGACTTTTTGATTTCGTATCGCGTTTTCATGATGTTGGGTTATTTCATATATCTCGGATATTTGAAGGCACACTTCATGTTGATAAAATACCCGTGCGATTCAAAATCGCAAACATTACGCATGCGCTACCCGTTCCAGTCCACCGACAGACCTATTTCACACCAAAACGGGTGGTCGTTTCTTTCCTGAGTGAAATTCTCGCTCCGGTACAACAACTGAGGTGAACTCACACTTGGGTGACTCGCGCCGGCATGATATTTTGTGGTAGCATCATGTTAACAAATATAGAGCCATGATAGGGAACCGGAGTGAACATGCGCCGGCGCGAAAGTCGCTCCGGTGTCATGTAAACACCCCCTTAAGGCGTAAGGTTTCTCAGAAGATATTTCTCTTGATGTTTCAGCACCATATCGAAAATATTCCTATCTTGTTTTTCTGATAGATCATAGATGTTAAACGCCTTAGATATGTATCGTCGCTTGTGACACTGGTATAGGAAACACTGAGCTCTGCACAGCGCTATCTGATAGACCGAAAGACCATAGGTCAAATCTGGGATAACGACTTTGAAACAGATGGTCTAATTCTACCTGCCTAAGTATAATCCTCCCTCCTTATCAACGATCTCAGTATAAAAAGACATTTGTTAGCTTTAATTAGCTCATTCCGTACGTTTGAAGTAAATCGGCAATTTTCCTGGAAAATAACACCTCGAATAGAGAGCTGGTTTGCGATACACCTGACACGAAAGGAAAAACCCGTGTTCAGCCTTTCTTCTTAGAAATAGCAGTTGAACAATTTTTTGATGGTAACCATTTGTAATGACGCAATCAGCCAAGACAAAATTAAGTAAAAAACACTGCAAGGAAAGATAGCACCAACTACAATTCATTTATTTCAAACATTCAACATATAATTTAAAAAAATCATGTACATTCGCAGACTCTGGAAGAGAGGAGCAGATTCTTTCCAGAACAAATTTATCTTATAAACGTCCTGGTCCTCCACTCAGAGCCAAAGAAAAGGTTAACAGCATCTCATCAGAGACAAATTAAATTCCTTTCAAAAACAAAAACCACAGGAAATAATTGATCATTCAGAAATTTCGGCCTTCTCCTCGAGTGGCAAACTCCCTAGGTAGACTTCTGATTAAAGGACAGGTCATAAGACGCTAGCTTACCTTTTGCGGTTTTCCAGGGCAATGGATAATCTTTTACCAGGTATGTAACAGGACCACATGACGCCGGTTTGATCGGTCGATCAAGTTCATACAATTCGATTCTCAGTAAGCAAAGGCGATTCGCACTTGTAACTGTAAAATTTTACTGCAATCAGTGTAATGAGTACAGTTAACTCTCGTCTTGCGGACACCCGCAGCCGCTATAACGGACATTCCGATAATAAGGACAGGTGCTGAATCCTAGGAAAAAGTAAATGACAGACATTTGACTGAGGTGAACTCCTGCTATTACGGACTCCCACTAATGAGGACACTAACCCAAGGTCCCTACAGTGTCCATTATAAAGATAGTTGACTGTAACTCCTCTGCGCTCTTTATTTCCTCTCGTAATTTTATCAAATTCATGTAATAGGCCATTTTCGAGTGGCCCCAACCCTTTGTTTCAAAGCGAGGTTAAGTGCGAAGTCATTGATATGAAAATAACTTTTTATTCTCACGGAAATAAAACTCATTTGCACAGCAAAGGTTTCGCACTTGCCCCGTTTTTAAGAGCGGATGTCAGTAAATATCGACCAGATGTCTACAAAACTGAAAAATCGAAAATTCTCAAAAAAATTCACAAAGTAGCACTAGGTAAGCTATTAACATAAATGTAATTTTTACTTCGATCCGATAATTATTTTCCACGTACGGGGGGGTTATTGGTTTCGCGGCTCTCGGACCGGGTTTTCCATGCCCGAGACCATGTGTCGCAAAAAAATCGGTTTAAAATTCAAATCCATCGAAATGCGGACAACAAAAAACTTATTCAGAAGGGTACTTAATTGTACACATTCTAAGTGGTGATTTACTCAGTTTGAACGAAAGTGTAATATTTTGGAGATTTTTCATTATTTTCAATATTTTGATCGTTTTCGTTCAATGAAAAAATGGCAAATTTCAAAGCCCAAAATCGTCGACTGGTACCTCGATTTCAGTAACGAGTCTTATACCACGTTAAAATTTTTGAGGCCAAAAAATACTAGTAGTACTCTTCTGAAATTTGAGCTTTCCAGACTCAGCGGGTCGATGCTAAAAACTCAGAAAAATGCAATAAGAAATCAGTTTGAGCAACAGTGGTTTCATGTTATCCGCTTTCAGAAACCAAAACGTGTTTATACAGCGATCTGGTAAAATTTAAAGCCGTTTTCCAACAAGAAAAGCAGAGTTTAGCCATCTTCTGCTACCAAACGCACCAGTGACGTAAGGTTGTCAAAGGGCAAAGCACAATAATAAACTTCAAAAAGCACAACGTTTCTGCGTCCAGGAATTAGACTTTAGCGGACAGAACAATGCCTACGAGTGTAAATTTCATACCTTAGCATGGGTTTCCTAGATACTGGAAACAAAAAAACATCAAGGACAGCATCGGCAAGAACATCTTCGGCTGCTCTCAAACGACGGAGATTGCGTTACTTTTCACAGATTGACCGCTTACCACCTGTTTTTTGGCTCGCATTTCGACGGAAAGCTTGCCTCGAGAGGCGCGGGGCACGGATCTGAACTCTTCTTCACGAGACATTGAGCTGAATTTATCGGAAATATGCCACCACCAACAACAACATGAGCTTTTTTTCGGGTATTTGTCGTTGTTTTATGCGAAAAGTTCGGGTAAGCAGATTCTCGCAAAAATCATTTGGCTCAAAAAATGTGTTTAAAAACCCACCCTGGATTTGAAGCAAAAAGTATTTCCTCGAAATAAGCTAAAAATACCCAATTCACGCGGTGAAAAAATGGATGATTATGGAAGGATTATCGAATTCTTGCCTAACCATAGTTCTGTGATGTGTTGTATCGCATACAAAAAATAAACTTCGCTCGTTAAATTTGGAGGGTTCTGTGAGTTTCAGAAAATGGTGAAAATTTGCTTATAAAAATGGCGTCCGAGGGGGTCGAAAAAAGTGATGCTCGTATCTCTAATACAAGAGCAGCGAAGAACCTACGTTTGGTATATTTGTCCATTACTCCACCACACCTATCTATGATGTTAATATGAACTTATTCTGTTGACCTCCTTCCGTTGACATTTTTAACATTTTGCCCGGTTTTCTCTGACAACCACTCTTAAGGGTCTTTGTACAAAACAAAGCAAAAGACAAGTATACAGAAACACGCAGAAGCAATGTGGTGAGGAAGCCCAAAAAGAAACCGTAAGGCTTAGGTCATCCCCTTTTCGTTCGTTTAGCGTCGAATAGGTTTCCTGGTTTTGGGTCGGTCGGTCGGTGGGGTGAAAAAAAGAATCACAAGAAATCTGAGAACGGGAGGCCTGAAACACCAGCATCATTGCCGTGGAGACTGAAAACAAAAAGACATGGTCACCAAATCGACACAAATTTAATATGGCGGAAAATTTGATAGTCAATTTCATAAAAAAAAAGGCCCAAGAAGGGTAAAACGCAAAGAGGATACACCACCGAACGTTTTATGCCTCGAAATGATGGTATAATGCTAATTTCTTAGATTAAAAGAATTAATCTAAGTCCAAAAAAAATAAACCTTGTCGTTTCTTTTTCTTGCTTTTTTAAAAAATTCCAAAAAACTGGGTCTTTTGGACGACACTAAAAGAAGAAAAATTTAATATAGGAATTAAGCTCCCCTAAAGTATAAAAGTATAAGTTTACAAGGACAGGATGTAGAAAAAGTTGGGCGTACCTCCGGAAAAATCCTGACTACGCACCTGCAGGAGCCCACACCTGCTAAAGCCTGAAACTGAACAACAGGAGTCTTGACGAAACGTCCTCAGTTATCACCTGCCCGGGGTCGTACTTTCAAAGAAACGCTGATCAAGAATCACTCATGACGGAATGAAAACTCCTCGTAGCTTCCAGCGAAAAAAGGAGTGACAACAGTGGTAAGCGGTCGTTCTGTGAAATGTAACGCAATCTTTGCCGTTTACGATCTTTCGGCGCTTGGATTTGAAACGTTGTTGTTTGGTATGTTCTCCCGTGTGGATACTTGACATTTCCAATATATGGAAACACCATGCTAAGGTACGAACAACAGACATTCACAACATTGTTTTGTACGCTGAAATCTGATTTCATGGACGTAAAACGTTTTTAATTTTAAGACTTTTTATGTTACCGCTTTGCCCTCCCTTTACAACTTCACGTGACTGGTGCACTTGGCAGGAGTTGACAGCTTAAATCTGCTTTTCTTGATAGCAAACGGCATTAATTTATATCAGATCGCTGTGTAAACACGTTTTGGTTTCTGAAAGCTGATAACATGAAACCACTATTGCTCAAACTGATTTCTTACTGTATTTTTCCAAGTTTTTAGCATCGGCCCGCTGAGTCTGGAAAGCT